TACATACAAATTACAAATTCCTGTATTTAATCGGTCTCAAAATTCCAAGTTGTTTTGCTTTAAGAAATTGGATATCAAATAAGCGGATCTCCCCTATTCAAAATGCGCAAGTTAAAAGCAAAGTTAAACAATGCAAAAAGGTCAAAGATTGTAACATAAAATTTTATAGATGTTAAGTGACTTAATTTCCCATTCACATCTCTTTGTCTGTAGCACATGCAAAAGGAAATGTTTGCTCTTGATTAGGCGAGTTTTTAACTAATGCTTTCAAAATACAAACTGAGTGACACATTGAGTAAGCTATTCGCTTCATCTTCGTAGGTCAAACGGCAAGTTTGCCTTCCCTCTCGTACCATTTATTTTGCCCTCAAATTTGTAAATGTAGATGGGTGGACGTCAAAGCGTAGCACTTGTCACTGCGCATGCGTATACGATGGCCAGTTGCCATCAATGGAGTCAGAATATTGTTCGCATTTTATGTGATCTTGTTGTTGTCTGAGCCTAAGAACCTTTACTAGCAATTCCCCACGGCTTTTGACATGAATTTTCTTGTTTTCTTCTAAAAGCCTTGTTATCATGATTGAAATTGCTTCTTCTACACATTTTTGAGAGTTTCTGCTCTACTCTGCTTATCTTAATTCATGCATTACCAAAGAGGCTGGTAATTTATTTTCATGCTTTTCAACCAAAGAATTGCTGGCACACTCGCTACGGTCCAGCAGTCATTTCAAATCCCTTTTCCAAAGAAAACATTTGTCAAAATATGGGGCAGGAAAACATATTGAACACAACTTTTATCAAATCCTACCGTGGAGATGAATTGCACCACTAGCGATCGCCTCAAATGGCTTCCGAAGAGGTCCACTTTCTGTGAAGTCTTCGCCGTTTTTAACTTCACACTTAACGCTAAGCGGTACTATGAATTCGTACTTGATCAGCAACCTCAAAATTAGCCTCACCGATTGCCTAATGAGAAAGAGGAAGGATCACACATGTTACACTTTGCTATTTCAATGCCTGCTACAACTGTAAAGCTCCCTGACCCTTTGATGGAGTGTACGCTCCTTCTATATTCCACCACCATCAAGTTGAACCCAGGGTGACGAAAACTTGCCACTTCTCCAGCACACCATTTACTTTCCTCCGTCTCCTTGCAAGTTGTCCAATTTCTTGAAGAAAGAGCAATTTTTTCATCATTGAAATTAATTTCCAACAGAGCTGGTGGCCGAGATTCGTCACTGGCACAAGTAAGGAAGACTGGTATACCGATTTGTGCAAAGACTTTTTGCTCTTCTTGGTGATGGCAAACTTGCTGACGTGCGCCCGCTGCCATCGCTTCTGGTGGAGTTAGGAGCTTGCCGACGAAAAGACCAAATCGTTTAAGAGGTGCTGGAAAAGCCGAAGATGGGAAAACGAAATGGGGAAGTAAGTGGTTCTTATGTCTAGATCCTTCCGATAGTCGGCTGATGTAAACACACAGATTATTACAATCATTAACCGTAGTAATATCTGGATAATAAATTTTTTTGCCGGGAAAAATAGTCGTTTGTGAGATGCTAGCATCTATCTCGTACTTGTAATGTCTCAGCTAAAACTTCTGAAACGAAATCGTGTATTGTAGCCTACCCTTAGCGTTGACGTAAATGCAAGTGAGTTAGCCTAAAATAGATTTAAAAGGTGTTAAAGAGACATAGAGGAGAGAACTTGTTAAACGCTTCTTCATTCTCAATATTCGTTCCCTACTGGAAGGGATTAAGCAACAAAGTGCGAGTAAATCTGTGATATCTGGGACGGCTCAGTTGTAGCGTAGTCACTGGGACGACTTTCTTGGCAAAAATTGACTGAGAATTTAGGAAAACGATTCATGACAAGCTAGCGCTGCACTGCTCGACAATTTTCTCGCGTGCACCTTCTCACTGGAGACGCGGAAACTCTTTGACTAATCTACGAAGCTTTCAGCTCTCTTTCCATCAAAGCACAAAACCAACACACTGTAAAGAAGGCAACTC